CAACAAAATAAAACTAGTACCGGTACCGAAAAAAAGAAGATTTATTCATAACACATGTGAAAAGACCCAGGAAAACCGAGTTAACAATCAAAACGATAACAAAATAACGCTGAAAACCGATAAAAACTCTGAAAACCATACATTTCACACCTGAGCCTCAACTCTCGCGGACCTGTACCAAACGACTCACGGACCGGTACCGGTCCGAGGCCCGGGGGTTTGGGACCGCTGGATAAGTTCCGGCTGTGTCCCCGCCTTTCTGCCATTTCCTAATTACCTGATGTGTGTATTTATACTGCGTGTCTGCCTGTGCTCCTCGTGGCATCGTCTGTGTTTCTCTGTGAATTGTTCGTGTACTTAACGTTATTCCGTGTTTCTCCGTGTCTCTCTGCTCCTCGCTCCGTGTCCTCCTTTTGCATTAGTTTTCCCAGTTTAGGGTTTTGTTCAGTTCTGCTCACACTTTGGTTATTGTGCACTGTAAATAAAACCCACTTGCACCTCCGCCAGTGTCTGCTTGTGGATCCTCCTTTCTCACCTCAACACGACTGCTGCCCCAGCCGTGACATTTATACTGTCCTCTGTTTTTCACAGTTATTTTGACCAAGTTTGGTGTGGTATTGACTCTTGAAGAACGGCAGGGTTTATTGATTGGCACCATCCTCGGTCCATCTCTTGTAAATCCTTTTGTGTATTGTCTTAGGACGAAGGAAATTAAAAATACGATTTTTAAGATACGTAGAAAGGTTAACATAGCTGGTTAGAGGCTTGTGAACTGTGAATGCACTTATATGTAAAATAGACAGAATCATTGGAAAGTTCATGTACGAATTTTCTAAACTTTGTTCTGGTCGGATTTGCGAACTTCTGAATCCTATTTAGGAGAGGAGCATCCACCTGTGAACTGCTATCATAACTTTATATATGTTATGATCATTTATAAATGATTTATATGACAGTCACATTTTAACCAAATAGCCTCGGGACTATTTACTTACACAACTGAATTGTTGAAACACAAACTGTTCCTATTAATTGTGATACATTTTTAAGTTTTCATTAAAATGCACTGTTTGTTTGTGAGCAGCATTATGTGACAACAGTTAATCTGTTAATAAAATCATTACTTTGTTATTTTGAAACAAAGTAAGAAAATGACATTTGTTATCTTACTAACGTTTTAGTATGTGTGTTTGCTATTTCTTTCTTTTTAGGTGGATGGATGACAGTATTCTTATAATAAGCAGTGAATTGACCAGATAACAAAGAAACAATGATTATAGTGAGCACGTAGGGGCAGGGATTGTAAGATTTTTTAACAAAGAAATAGGTAAAATTGCAAGAGAGCAAGAGAACGTTTTCGTTGAATCAGCTAATTTTCCTCTCAGGTAAAAACGTTTCTAAAACAAGAAGTTCAGGAACACATAAAAAAAGGAAAAATGCCAAAGGAGAAATATAAATTCTGACCTGACTCATTTTTGCCCCTACAAAATACGCAAGAAATGTTCACAAAAAGTGTGACAGCATGTGTAGTTCGAGCAGTAATATCATCAATGGTGTCAAATACCCCACCACATCTGCTCTTTGAAACATTGCATCTTTGATTTAGTTGCTGAAAGAATTTGAAACAAGTTTTAAAAGAAGGATGATGATGATGTCAACTTTTTTTTTTTTTTTTTTTTTTTACAGAAAAGAACCTTTAAAAAGCAAGTATGATGATTTATCTGAGGGGATGGCATTAAAACAACTTTATTAGGACATACATTAATTAAACAAGGCAAGAGCAAAAGAGCAAGTAAGAGAACATTGTAATAAGGAAATAAAAATCAACTGAAAAACAATTTAAAATGGACTTCTAACCAGATACTGAACAGGAAGGAAAAGATAAGTTAAAAATAATACAGTATTGATCAGAAATAAATGCCCTCGGAACAAATACAGTCAATATTTACACCAAAATAAAAACAAGGTCCATTGTGTGTCCTATCATAAATGTGGGGCCTGATGCATATTCTGCATCATGAAAAAATCCATGACGCTGATATAATTTATGGTAGTGAGACCAGAGTAATCATCGACATGTATCTTTGAAATCCTCCTCTACAACCAATCTCAACAATTTTATAGTAGATGAGGAATAGAAATTATTTAAGAAGAAAGTAAGGATGAGAGTCTTGTGGAAAACCGGTTCGCAGTTGCTCACTACCTAGGAACTGTTAGTCTGCTCACCTGTTGATTCCACTTATTGGTTCCACTTGCATTTGTGCTATAATTAGCTGATTTCAGTTTGTGTGCCAGAGGAGGAAAATAGTGCCACAATCTACAGCATAGATATAAACTTTACTTTTATATTTTAGAGCCAAACCTAAAAGTTATTTTGGTAGTCTCATCCCACAGGAAATTAAAATAATGACCCAGGAAACATGAATTTGAAAATAATCACCTATATTTTTAATATTACTCAGTGTTGGTCAAGTTACTTGAAAAAAGTAATCAGTAACTAATTACTGATTACTTCCCCAAAAAAGTAATCCCGCTACTTTACTGATTACTTATTTTCAAAAGTAATTAATTACTTAGTTACTTAGTTACTTTTTAAAAACACCATTTACAACCTGAATAGGTGATAAAGCGATAGCTCTTTCAGCCCAATTCTACTTTTTCTGCATAATCTATCATACAAAATGTAATCAAATGGAAAAGTCCCTTTTTAAAACTTGTTTTATT